AAAAACCCCCCACGCAATGTTCACTTTTAACCCAAATAAGTCTGAAAAAATGTCTGCCAATATGCAAGCCATTGTACAGAGCAGTGATGATGAGCCATGGGAGGGGGATGGCTGATGAGTTAGGAGGAGGATGGAGGTACCAGCAGGAGCCAAAGGTTGGGAATCTGAGGTGGAAGAGCACAGAAGAAGTGCCTCCTGGTCAACTGAAGCAGTCTCCTTCCCTGTAACAGGGCTGATGGAGGCTCTTCGGTTCTGGCATCTCCTAGGTGAGGTGTGTTTCCACACCTTTGTTGCAGATGTGCTGAGACTCTGTCAGACTGACCCCTCAGCATCCGGAAGTTTTATTCGGACAGGAGGTGTTGGGGTGCAGCTGCTGGGGACTGTGGCTTATGAGAATGAGAGTTGTAGGAGACTGCTGCTACCAGCTCTGCTCCATGTTTTGTTGAGGAGGCTGCTGCAGCTGAGGAGAGGACACCAAGTCATCCCTTTGTGTCAGAGAGATGTAGGAGCAGGACCTTCAAGCCAAGGTTGCATGGCTGGATTAATTTGTTTCAACTTGGCCAGTTTGAAGCAGGACTGGCAAGATTCATGTCTGATGTCCTTGCTGCTGGGGATGTTTTGTGTCTCCAGAGCTGCTACTGTAGTTGCTTGTGTTTTGGGAATTGCAGGAGGGAAAAGGTGCTTTGAGCCAGGAGGTCCTGACCTCAAAACAGCGTGCAAACAAGCAGAGGTGTGAGCAGCGTCCACAGAAATGCTGGGCTCACACCAGCCTCGCAGGAGGTCGGCACGGACTGTGCTAGCAGTGCTGGCATTTGCCTGTGAGAGTGGCTAAGCACTTGCAGCACAGGCTGGCTGAGGGAAGCCCTGGAGGCGACAGAGCTTGTCCCTGTCCAGTGTCCCAGTCGGGGGTGAGGTGCCATCCGTATGCAGTTTCTCGGGATGTTTCTGACACCCACCCCGCACAGGGCCCCATGTGAAGTCAGCAGGCTGCTGGTCAGAGCACTTGCCTGGCCAGATTCTGCCTGATCCTGCAGGCTGTTCTACCTCCTTATTAAACTCTGCAACTGTTTTGTTGCTGGTTTTCCTCTCTGTCTCTCTCTCTGTCTCTGTGATCCCCTAGCCGACTTTTAAGTGGGCTTCTTGGTGAAGAGGTGTGAGAGCCAGCTTCCGGATGGACCAAGAGTATGGTGCCAGCTACAAGAGGCGCCTGGGAGGAGAGCCGGAGGGAGAGGTTCATTCGGCAGTGACCTTTGAGCCCCGTTGGTGAGGAGGCAGTGACCTTTGAGCCCCGTTGGTGAGGAGGCACAGGCTTGGCCTGTTTGTGTTACTCATGTCGAAGCTGCCTGCCCGTGTGCGGGTGCCTGCGGAGGTACCGCGCCGGGGTGGGTGGGCTGCAGGTCGCTGGTCTGTTTGCAGTGGGCTGGTCCTGCCAATGAGGAGGCGCAGCCGCCACCACGCCTTCCTGCCTGCGGTCCTGCAGTCCACCAACTGTCTGCAACAAGAAAGCATCTGTTTTACGGGGCCGAAGCTGTCATCTGGTGGTCGATTTGATGTCCGAAATGGGTCCAGCTGCCCTTCAATTTAATTTCCATGTGACTTAATTTTTTTGTCTAAAAGCTTTTTGCTTAGCTGTACTTCAAAGTGTATTTGTCTAACTGGTGACTAAATCCACTTGGAAGTCAAACCATGGGATTTATCATGGCCAATGCATCTTTTGCATTCTCAGACACCAGCTGCCCTTGATGGGAACGTGGCACGGCCAGACTGCGAGGCGTAACCCGACATGAGCAGGAACGGAGGGACTCCTGTAAATCATCCACTCTGCCTGCAAACCTGATCCTTGCTGTTCTCCCAGCTCAGAGGAGGGCAGGGGTAAAATTCCCTGGCAGATGATCATCGATATAGGTAGAACATCATGACACCTTGGAAGCACCCGAGTTCTTGGATGTGTATTGAACTGTAAATATTAAGCCTCCACTGAAGCCTATGGTGCCTCACCCTGAAATGGCAGATAACTTGACCCAGTACCTTTTCTGCCCACAGGCCACTTCAGGTGTACTCCACACACTTAAACACAGGGTGCAACCCTCTGGATACCCGCACACCCCCTTGTCCCCCAAATCTCGCCAACAGTGAATTTCTGGGTCATCTGGAGCCCCAGGTAGGAAGCTCC